AGGGTGGGTGGGCGGGGCTAGTATTTGCTAAGGTAAGTCTGCACAGTAATAAGAGTAGTCACTGGAATAAAGAGGGGGCAAGTGGGCAGGGCTGCTGCTTGCTTAGAAGACTCTTAAGAAAAAAGCTCAACTCAGTTCCGCCCACCTTTTTTCGTTATTCCACTAACTTATTTTAATTACTGTAGTTGATTGAATTCTATTTTGACAAACAGTAGAATCTAAGATTTAAAACAAAGTCAAAAGGGCCCATCCACCTGCCCGCCCTCTATTTTCTTAGAGGGCATGTTATTTTCCAAAATCAGTCGTATCTTAGCAAATTGAAGCCCCGCCCACCCACCCTCTATTTTCTTAGAAAGTTTCATCTGCCAAAATCAGTCTTATCTTTACAAACACTAGCCCCGCCCACCCGCCCTTTATTTTCTTAGAAGGTAACGCATTTGCCAAAATCACTCTTATCTTAGCAAATTGAAACCCCGCCCACCCACCCTCTATTTTCTTAAAGAGTATATCATTTGCCAAAAATCAGTCTTATCTTTACAAATATTTTCAATTAGATTACCTAATTTTTCGGTTTTTCAGTTTTTCAGTTTCTCAATTGTTAGTTTTTCGATTTTCAGTGTTTCAGTATTACCTTTTCGATTGCTCAAATTTTCATTTTTTCTTTATTATCGACTTCTCACTTTCTCGATTTCGCGATAATTCGATTTTTACTTCCCGGGCGTAAGCTAAGAAAATATAGTAATGGAGTCCGTCAGACGAATGGTCACTTTTATATTTTGTCGACGTTTCATGTCCCCAGAATACGAAAAAGTAGTTTCCTGTTTCCAAAAGTTGGCTAATCATCCTCACCAACAATTTGATTTGATACGAATCCGCTATCAGTTTTCTCGCTAAACGTTTAAATTTTGTTGGAAAATTTTTGGAAATTTCTAATTCACTTTTCGTGTTTATTGGAACAGATATCCTAACGGCGATATCAAGTTTGTAACTGGCGGATGACTATCTACAATTTGACACCGATATTCGGTCAATTGAACCAATTTTAACCACTTCTTTGGAAAATTTTCGAAAAATCGATAAACTAAAAAATCGAAAGACTAAAAAATTGAAAAATCGAAAAATTACGAATCGAAAAATTGAAAAATCAACAAACTGAAACATCGGGAAAAATTGAAAAATGGGAAAATTGAAGAAAAGAAAAACGGTAAAATCGAAAAATTGCAAAAGGAAGAACTGAAGAAATGAAAAACTGAAACATCGAAAAACTAAAAATCAAGAAAATTAAAAATTGAAGAAAATAAATGAATCAAAAAATTGGAAAAAAAGTAAAAATGAAGCAAATCGAAAAATTGGAAAACCCAAGAATTGTAAAATTCGAAAATTATGGAATCGTCAAAGTTATAAATTCGAAAAATGTAATGTTGAAACATCGAAAAATTGAGAGTTGAAAAATTAACTTGAATAATTAAAAAAGTTTTAAAATTTAATATATAATTGAAAATGGAAAAATTCTAAAATCGCAAAACTGGAAAAGTGTTTTTTTTAATTATTATTATTACATATTTAAATCTACAATTAAAAAACGAAAACTTAAAGAATGTAAAAGTTGAAAAACCGAAAAATTACAAATCGAAAAATTAAAAAATTGTCACTGAAGAGAGAAAAATTAAGAATTAAAACATCGAAAAACTGAAAATTCGAAAAAAACAAACAAAATGAAAAACTGAAACAAAAAATTAGAATAGAAAAAATGTAAAAATAAAGAAAATAAAAAACCGAAAACTGAAGGATTGAAAAATTCAAGTCCAAAAAAGCTGCAGGTAGCGCCACTGGTTTTACCTCTATGGAGGTTATAAAAACACAAAAATCTCAATTTTTTTTTATTATATTTCAAAAAGGTGCAATTTGTCGGGTTGCAGTTCAGGGGCGAGGGAAGTTCTGTCGAAATAACCTTGGAACAATGTTTTAATTTTAGAATTTTGCAATTCTCGGATTTTTCAATTATTTCATTTTCTAATTTTTCAGTTTTTGATTTTTCAAATTACTCGATTTTTATTTTTTTTAAGTTTTCTCGAGTTTCAGTGGCGGTTTAGGCAATTCCAAAATTGAATTCGGAAAACGTGAAACCAAAATTTTTCGAACTGCCTTTTTTCAGTTTTTCATTTTTTTTTCTCAGTATTTGTTTGCAGATGACATGGTTTCTAAGAAAAGAGAGGGCGGGTGGGCGGGGCTTAAATTTGCTAAGATAAGACTGATTTTGGCAAATGACATTCTCTAAGAAAAGAGAGGGCGGGTGGGCGGGCCTAGTACATGTCAAGATAAGACAATTTTGGCAAATCACATACACTCTAAGAAAACAGAGGGTGGGTGGGTGGGGCTAGTATTTGCTAAGGCAAGACTGCACAATAATAAGAGTAGTCACTGGAATGAAGAGGGGGTCAGTGGGCGGGGCTCCTGCTTGCTTATAAGACTCTTAAGAAAAAAGCTAAACCCAGTTCTCCCTACCATTCTTCTTTATTCCGCTGAGTTATTTTATTTACTGCACAGTGGGAATTGAATTCTACTTTGACAAGCGATAGAATCTAAGATTTAAAACAAAGTCAAAAAGTACCCATCCACCGCCCGTCCCCTATTTTCTTAGAGAGTACATCATTTGCCAAAATCAGTCTTATCTTTACAAATACTAGCCCCGCCCACCCGCCCTTTATTTTCTTAGAAGGTAAGTCATTTGCCAAGATCAGTCTTATCTTACTAAATTGAAGTCCCGCCCACCCACCCTCTATTTTCTTAGAAAGTATATCATCTGTCAAAATCAGCCTTATCTTTACAAATACTAGCACCACCGACCCGCCCTTCATTTTCTTAGAAGGTAGGGCATTTGCCAAAATCACTCTTATCTTAGCAAATTGAAACCCCGCGCACCCACCCTCTATTTTCTTAAAAAGTATATCATTTGCCAAAAATCAGTCTTATCTTAATAAATATTTTCAATTAGATTACCTAATTTTTCGGTTTTTCAGTTTTTCAGTTTCCCAATTGTTAGTTTTTCGATTTTTCAGTGTTTCAGTATTACCTTTTCGATTCCTCATATTTTCGTTTTTTCAAATTATCGACTTGTCACTTTCTCGATTTCGCCATATTTCGATTTTTACTTCCACCGCGTAATCTAAGGAAATATAGCAATGGAGTCCATCAGACGAATGGTCACTTTCATATTTTTTCGACGTTTCATGTCCCCAGAGTACGAAAAAGTAGTCTCCTGTTTCCGTTTGTCTGTCTGTCTGTCTGTCTGTCTGTATCCATTTTTATTAGACAGTAATCTTGGAAACTGCTGGATCGATTCTTATCAAATTTTGTATGAATGTTAAACATATCATGTAGATGGTTAAATGTTAACCAAAATTTGGCTAATCATCCCCACCAACAATTTGATTTAATACAAATCCGCTCTCAGTTTCCTCGCTAAACGTTTACATTTTTTTGGAAAATTTTTGAAAATTTTGAATTCACTTTTCGTATTTATTGGAATAGATATCCTGACGGCGATGTCAGATTTATAACTGGCGGATAATTATATACAATTTGATACCAATTTTCGGTCGATTGAACCAATTTTAAGCATTCTTTTGGAAATTTTTTGAAAATTTTGGAATCATATTTCACCTGTATTTCAATAGATGTGGTGAAGTTGATTTCGGATTTGTAATTAGGGGCGGATTATCTATAATTTGATACCAATTGTCAGTCGATTGAACCAATTTTAACAATTTATTTGGAAAATTTTTGAAAATTTTGAATTCACTTTTCGTGCTTATTGGAATATATGTCGTGACAGCGATTTCAGATTCATAACTGGCGGGAGATTATATACAATTTGACACCAATTTCGATCGACTGAACAAATTTTAACCATTTTTTTGGAAAATTTTTGAAAAATCGAAAAATTAAAGAAAAGAAAAATAATAAAATCGAAAATTGCAAAAGGAAGAACTGAAGAAATGAAAAACTGAAACATCGAAAAACTAAAAATCGAGAAAGTTAAAAATTGAAAAAAATAATTCAATAAAAAAATTGGAAAAAATAGAAATGAATCGAATCGAAAAATTGGAAAACCCAAGCATTGTAAAATTCGAAAATTATGGAATCGTCAAAGTTATAAAGTCGAAAAACGTAATGTTGAAACATCGAAAAATTGAAAAATTAACTTGAATAATTGAATAAGTTTTAAAATTTAATATGTAATTGAAAATAGAAAAATTCTAAAATCGCAAAACTGAAAAAGTTAATTTCTTTTAAATTATTATTATTAATACATATTTAAATCTAAAATTAAAAAACGAAAAATTAAAGAATGTAAAAGTCGAAAAACCGAAATATTACAAATCGAAAAATTAAAAAAATTGTCACTGAAGAAAGAAAAATTAAGAAATAAAACATTGAAAAACTGAAAATTTGAAAAAAACAAACAAAATCAAAAACTGAAACAAAAAACTAGAATAGAAAAAATGTAAGAATAAAGCAAATAAAAAACCGGAAAACTGAAGAATTGAAAAATTCAACTCCAAAAAAGCTCCAGGTTACGCCACTGGTTTTAGCTATATGGAGGTTATAAAAACACAAACATCTCAACAATTGTTTATTATATTTCAAAGAGGTGCAATTTGTTGGGTTGCAGTTCAGGAGAGAGGAAAGTTCTGTCGAAATAACCTTGGAACAATGTTTTAATTTTAGAATTTTGCAGTTCTCGGATTTTTCAATTATTACATTTTCTAATGTTTCGGTTTTTAATTTTTCAAATTACTAGATTTTTTATTATTTTAATTTTTCTCGAGTTCCAGTGGCGGTTGGGGGCAACCAAGACCAATTCCAAAATTGAATTCGGAAAACGTGAAACCAAAATCAAAACAAATCGGCGAATAACTTGTTTGCCAAAAATGGAGTATTGTTGGTTGCATACTATTTTGGTTGGCAACTCATCTGTCGACCGCACTCTGTCAAATGTCAGCCGCTATTAATGAAAATAAATATGTCGAAGACGAAGTACGTAAATAGAACGCAAAAAGAATTTCCTTTACAGTTTATGTAGTTCTTACACCAAAAACCGTTAAATCACCACCTACATTAAATACTTTCTTTAAAAAATGGATGACATGGAGCTTCGGACCGTCGAACACTCAATACCCACCGACATCCTCGATGACCTCCTAACGTAAGTTTACATAATAACGCTTTCAAAAATAACGACCAAACTTCCAGACGCTTCATAATTTGCGTCCCTGAATCCGCCAAACAGAATCTCATCCGCATTTGTTTCCAAATCGAACTGGCCCATTGGTTCTACTTAGACTTCTACGTTACCAGTGAAAGCAAACTGAAAACTTGCAGTATTTACGAATTCGCTGCCCACGTCTTTCAGGTTAGTGTACCCAACCGCCCCCAGCTCGCTTCTGTAGTTGCGTTGTAGCACATACCGTCTTTGCAAAAGGAGCGCCACAAGCTCAACCAAATCCTAGCCGAATGGAAAGAGTACAAGCAGACGGTCCCCACGTACGGCGCCATCCTGCTGTCCGAGGGCATGACCCACGTCTTATTAGTACAAAGCTACTTCGCCAAGTCCTCTTGGGGCTTTCCTAAGGGTAAAGTGAACGAAGAGGAGGACCCGGCGCACTGCGCCATCCGGGAAGTCCTCGAGGAAACCGGGTTCGATATCACCAACTACATATCGCCAGACGAGTGGCTCGAGTCCACCATCAACGACCAACTGGTGCGGCTGTACATCATCAAGAACATCCCGCTGATCACCAAGTTCCGACCAAAAACCCGCTACGAAATCAAAGCTTGCGAGTGGTTCCCGGTGGCCGACTTACCCAATAGCAAGAAAGACGTGACTCCGAAGGTGAAGATGGGGGTGAGCGCGAACGCGTTCTTCATGGTGCTGCCGTTCGTCAAGCGGTTGAAGATGCTGTGTAACGTCAACAAGAAGCCGAGGAACAAGTCGGCGAGCGTGAGCGAGGTGGAGTATTCTTCGGCGAAGAGCAAGAGCAAGAAGGTGGAGACGGAAGACAACAGGCTGGCGAAGAGCGGGAGGAAGATTGACAAGAAGCACGTTTCGAAGAGGCAGTTGTTCGTCAACGATAGCACGGTTGACTTCTGCGCGCCGTCGTGGCTCAATTTTAAATTCGACAGAACTGCCATTATGGAATGCATTCCTTAATTGTAGATATTTTTTGTGATATGTTTTTTATGCCATTCATTATCCAAATGCGATCGGCGAGATCGGTTCATTTGCAATATGTTTGTGATAATTAGTTCAGGAGAGGTCGAAATGAAATTCTGGTCAACAGGTTTAAACTTGAATTTTGATTACTTTTTTTTGTTATTTGGTTTGGTGAAGCCCGGCTTTAATTTTTTTCTAAGATGGTTTCGTTTAAATCGATCGTTTCTGTTAAATTTGTATTATTTTAAGCATATCAATTTAGCAGTATTTAAACCCAAATTAGAATAATAATAAAGGCTGACTACTTCAAGTAGGTTATATTGTTTTAACGAGGATGTGCATTTTTGGTTCTTAACGAAAATTTATTTTAAAATATAGTTTTTCAAGCAAGAGGTGTTTTTTTTCTGAAAATGGCAAGGTTTTGAAAAAGTGCAAATGTGGAGTGAGGTTAAAAAATAAAGGACGATCGTTATAAATACTTCAGATTTCTATCGACATAAGTCCGCCTAACAAAATATAGAGGGCGCAGTAAACAATAATCGACATTTTAAAGGACTATCTACATATGTAAAAATGTTTGGATTTTATTTCTATATATAAATAAAGATATTGCGTTCTGCGGCCCGAAAATTACAAGAAAATGTATTTGGTTAAACTTCGAAAATTGGTCGGAATTTCCGTAGATCTTTGATTTGAAAGGGCGATTCTGGAAAAACGGTCGGATTTATCGAAGAAGTGAAGACGAAATTAAGTTCTGCGACCCGAAAACTACAAGAAAATGTATTTAGTTAAATTTCCAAAATTTCGTCGAGAATTGGTCGGAATTTCCATAGATTTTTAATTTCAAAGGGCGGGCGATTCTGGAAAAACGGTTGGAGTTATCGAAGAAGTGAGGGCGAAAGTGACTTCTTTGTGTCCCTTTTATCCTTTTTGACCCCTTTGTGCTTTTCGTCCTTTTCGCCCCTTTCGTCCTCTTCGTCTTTTTGTCCTTTTCGTCCTTTCGCCCCTTTCGTCCTCTTCGTCCTTTTTCGTTCTTTTCGTCCTTTCGCGTCCTTTTTCGTCCTTTGCGTCATTTTTCGTCCTTATTCGTCATTTTTCGTCCTTATTCCTCATTTTCGTCGTTTTTGTCCTTTTCCGTCCTTTTTCGTCCTTTTCTTCCTTTTGCGTCTTTTTCGTCCTTTTCGTCATTTTTCGTCCGTATTCCTCATTTTCGTCCGTTTCGTCTTTTATTCGTCTTTAATCCTCATTTTCGTCCTTTTCCTCCGTTTCGTCCTCTTTCGTCGTTTTTCGTCCTTTTCGTCCCCTTCGTTCTCTTAGTCCTTTTCCGTCCTTTTCGTCCTTTACGTCTTTTTTCGTCCTTATCGTTCTTTTTCGTCCTTATCGTCCTTTTTCGTCCTTTATCGTCCTTGTCGTCCTTTTTCGTCCTTATTATCCTTTTTGGTCATTTTTCGTCTTTTTGGTCATTTTTCGTCTTTTTCGTCCTATTTCGTCCTTATTATCCTTTTTCGTCCTTTTCGTCCTTATTATCCTTTTTCGTCTTTTTTCGTTCTTTTCGTGCTCATTACCCTCGTTCGCCCTTCTTCATCCTCATTATCCTTTTTCGTCCTTTTTCAACATTTTTCGTCCTTTTCCGTCATCTTCGTCCTTTTTCATGCTTTGTCGTCCTTTTCGTCCATATTATCCTTTTTCGTCCTTATTATCCTTTTTCGTCCTTTTTCATCCTTCTTAGTCCTTTTCGTCCTCTTCGTCCTTTTCGTCTTTTTCATCCTTTTTCGTCCTTAATATCCTTTTTTGTCCTTATTATCCTTTTTAGTCCTTTTTCGTCCTTTTCGTCATTTTTCGTCCATTTTCGTCCTTATAGTCCTTTTTCGTCTTTTATCGTCATTCTCGTCCTTTTTCGTCTGTTTCGTCCTTTTTCGTAATGTTTCGTCCTTCATATCCTTTTTCGTCCTTATTATCCTTTTTCATCCCTATTATCCATTTTCGTCCTTTTTCGCCCTTTTTCGTTCTTTTCGTTCTTATTATCCTTTTTCGTCCTTTTCGTTTTTCTTTGTCCTTATTATCCTTTTTCGTCCTTGTTATCCTTTTCCGTCCTTTTCGTTTTTCTTCGTCCTTATTATCCTTTTTCGTCCTTTTTCGTCTTTTGTCGTTCTTTTCGTCCTCATTATCTTTTTTCATCATTTTCGTCATTTTTCGCCCTTTTTCGTCATCTTCGTCCTTTTTCGTCGTTTTCGTCCTTAATATTTATTTTTACGTTCTTTTTTCTCGTTATTGTTCTTTTTCGTCCTTATTCGTCCTTTTTCGTCTTTATTCGTCCTTTTTCGTTTTTTTCATCTTTACTATCCTTTTTCGTCCTTTTTGGTCCTTTTTGGTCCTTTTTGGTCCTGTTCGTCCTTTTCGTCATTTCGTCCTTTTTTCGTCCTTTTTCGTTCTTCTCATTCTTTGTCGTCCTTGTATCCTTTTTCGCCCTATTCGTCCTTATTATCCTTTCTCGTCCTTTTTGTCCTTAATATCCTTTATCGTTCTTTTTCGTCCTTTTTCCTCATTTTCGCCCTTTTCGTCATTTTTCGTCCTCTTCGTCATGTTTGTCCTTTTCGTCCTTTCTCGTTCTTTTCGTCCTTATTCGTCCTTCTTCGTCTTTTTCGTCCTTCGTCTTTTTTCATCCTGTTTCCTCCTTTTTCGCCCTTTTCGTCCTTTTTCGTCCTTGTTCCTCATTTTCGTCCTTTTTCGTCCTCTTTCGTCCTTTTTCGTCCTTTTTCGTGCTTTTCGTCCTTTTTCGTCCTTATCCTCCTTTTCGTTCTTTTCATCCTTTTCGTTCTTCCTTTTTATCCTTTTTATCCTTTTCATCCTTTTTATCCTTTTTATCCTTTTTAATTTGAAATTTGAATTTTAAAATTTGAAATTTGATTTTGAAATTTGAAATCATCTTTTCGTCTTTACTATCCTTTTTCGTCCTCTTTTGTCCTTTTTCGTCCTGTTCGTCCTTTTCTTCTTTTTCGTCATTTTTTCGTCCTTTTTCGTCCTTTTTCGTCTTTCTCATTCTTTGTCGTTCTTATATCCTTTTTCGTCCTTTTCGTCCTTATTATCCTTTCTCGTCCTTTTTGTCCTTATTATCCTTTATCGTCCTTTTTCGTCTTTATTCCTCATTTTCGTCCTTTTCGTCATTTTTCGTCCTCTTCGTCATTTTTGTCCTTTTCGTCCTTCTTCGTCTTTTTCGTCCTTCGTCTTTTTTCATCCTGTTTCCTCCTTTTTCGCCCATTTCGTCCTTTTTCGTCCTTGTTCCTCATTTTCGTCCTTTTTCGTCCTCTTTCGTCCTTTTTCGTCCTTTTTCGTGCTTTTCGTCCTTTTTCGTCCTTATCCCCCTTTTCGTTCTTTTCATCCTTTTCGTCCTTGCTTTTTATCCTTTTCATCCTTTTTTATCCTTTTTATCCTTTTTATCCTTTTTATCCTTTTTATCCTTTTTATCCTTTTTATCCTTTTTATCCTTTTTATCCTTTTTATCCTTTTTATCCTTTTTATCCTTTTTATCCTTTTTATCCTTTTTATCCTTTTTATCCTTTTTATCCTTTTTATCCTTTTTATCCTTTTTATCCTTTTTATCCTTTTTATCCTTTTTAATTTGAAATTTAAAAGTTGAATTCATATTCGAAATTCCAAATTTGGTTTTAAAATTTGAAATTTGAATTTTGAAACTTGAAATTTGATTTTGAAATTTGAAATCATCTTTTATAAGCAAGCTAAAAAATATAACCGGAATGTTAAATCACACGTATAGATATCATATTTTGCACATTTTCGATAGATTTATTCGGCAATGGGATGACGTCATAAATATTTTGGGGAGATAAACAAAAATGTTTTGTTTAAAATTTTACCGTGCTTACTACTTTAAAACGTCTGCAAGATTTCAAAGTATTCGGTTTTGCGGATTCAAAATTAAATTGCAAAATGTTGTTATAAAATTTTTATTTTGTTTCCAAAATTCTGGATGTCTTTGGTAAAAACTCAACATGGATGCATAAACTACATGTGTCGGACTGTATTATTTCTTACAATTTAAAATCCATTTACTATGTACAATTTTGAAGCGACAGTTACACCTCATTGTGTTAATTTCATATGAATTTTTACTCTTTAAGTGGAAACGCTGCCGGCAGTCGTTTAAATAAAATAAAATTCATTAAAAATGAAATTAAAAAATTGTTTCTTACTTTCTATTATTTGTCAATATAAAATCCAACTTCTCTTTCAGAACCAATGAAAATGAGTGATCAAAAGGTAATAGGGGTGGGTGGGAGGGGCCACTTTTGACATTGTTTTAAATCTTCCAATGAAATTTGAAACCGGCATTAAAGCTACACCAATGAAACGATATTATAACCGAAAATACTGATAACAACATAATATCTTTTGCAAAAAATGTTTGAATAAAGTCCCTAGATTACAATGTGTTGTCAAGTTTTCTCTAAATTATTCAAAATAAAACAGCGATTGTCTTTTATATTTATTTATTTACATATAAACTTTCACGATTAGTGCTTTAAGATTTGTCTGTTTGGACCGTAAATTAATAGCGTCACAGTTAAACATTTATCAGTTTTATATTTAGTACAACAATACTAAAATATCGATAGTAATAAATAAATAATGACATGATTACATCAATTCGATTTAATGACAAACATAAAAAAATTAGTCACATTACATACAGAATACAGACATCAATATTTTTATTAAAGCTATCATTTTAAAATGCCGTTTTAGTGTTTGTACATGTCGGAAAATTAGTGAAAAAATTAAAATCACAATATATTCAGTGGCTATAAATAATATAGGTCCTCGAGCGAACAAAACAAAAATAGTGGAGATTTTTGGAACATTCGAGCTACGATTTAGTCAATCTACTTTGTCAGAATTTATTTTTACCACACTACTTAGTCACTCGAGGGAGGCACTAAAATAATTCCTTTTTCATATATTATTTTAAAATATACCCAAAGGCTTAATTCTATACAAATATGAACATCAACCGCTGGATCGCTCTAGTCTTTTTGTTATGGCAAGTTTTCGTCTCTCCTGTTAACGTCCAACCTCTTCAGCTACAAAGACAAACTTAATAGAAACATATAAGAATTTCCGGTCACTTTTCACCTACTTCCTTCTCATCCGCAGTCGTAGTGTAGCGCTCGATGATCTTCAAAGGACCAAGACTGGGGGCAGAAAAGGCATGCTTGTAGATCAAAGCAGCGGCTATTCCTCCGAGAACAGGCCCCACCCAATACACCTACAAAAAAAAATTAGACCCGCCGAAATTCAAACCCAAAACTCAGTACCCAGTGGTCGTCCCAGTCGTTGGCAATCAAAGCCGACCCGAAACTCCTAGCCGGGTTCATGCTGCTTCCAGTAAAGTCAACGGTCGCTAAATGACCCACTCCAACGGCCATTCCGATGGCCAAAGCCGCAGCTGGCTTGGCCTCGGGCCTGTTCGGGTCACACACTCCACAAACCACCAGAACCAGCACGAAACCCAAGAAAAATTCCACTCCGAAGCCTTGCACTGGAGTGAAGTCGTCCTGTAGTTGGGTATTCCCCAGACCCGTGCTGTGGAGCGGCTCCGGAGTCAGCGCCTGAAAAAAATAATTATAGTCTGCCGAAAGCGAGAAATTTAGTCGTTACTTTCAAGACGGACGAGCCGGCTAAAGAGCCGAGACACTGGACGATGATGTAGAGGATTCCTTTGACTATGCTGATGTTGCCGACGGACATCATGCCGGCGGTGACGGCGGGGTTTATGTGGGCGCCGCTCACATGGCCGAGGGTCTAGAATAACAAAATGTAGATGGGTTGGTGGCTGGTTGGGGTTCTTACTTGGACTAAGATGAAGATGACCAAGCCGAAGGTGAGGGCGATGAGCACGAAGCTGGTGGGTTTGCCGGTGGCGCTGACGCAAGAAGCGCAGCCGAAGAAGTTGAGGAGGACGTTGGCGAGGAATTCGGCCAGGAGGGCCTTCCAGAGGGTGTTTTTGCTCTTGAGGTCGTTGATCCCGAGGGTTTCGTGGAGGTTGCCCATGGCTTAAAGGCTGGAATAGAATTCAATATCGTTGTATGACAAATCATTCGTTAAGTCAGGTCAGGTCAAGTAAAATTAAGTTAAATTATTCGCTATTAAATTTATTTCTTAATTCAGAAGAAAAAAATGAGAGAACGGGTGGGTGGGTAGGGCGACGTTTTAACTTTTTCCACCAGAGTCGTTTATAAGCAAGTAATTAACCCACATTTAGTCACAACATTTTTTTGAGTTGAAATCGTTTAAAAAATAAAAATTAGGTTATGCAACCAATTATACATTTTTGTCATCGGATGTCTCCCATTAGTCCCATTCTCCTATTTTAAAGTCCAAAATTGACAGATTACTATCAAAACAAATCAATAAAAATGTTTATGTGAGATAAGGGAAGAAAATTATTTAAATTGTTAACACATTTGAAAAAAATAAAAAAAAAACTAAACTTTATGAAAATTTATGGTTAGGTTTGTATTCTGAATTTAAATTCAGGTTTATATCTTGGTTCTCCTGGACGTTTGTCACCAATTAGAACTTTTTCTTTTTTTTTTTTAATAACCTATGCTCTATTAGTTCCCGCTCCTACTTTTCAGAGGGACCTGCAAGTAAACCCCGCCCACCCACCCCGTCTATATTTTAATGATTTATTTATCCACTCTGAACGTGGATCTTATACTGAACAGAAATAAAATTAGTCGTTAGAATGAGAAGAGGGGGGTGGGCGGGGCTAGTACTTGCTAAGATAAGACTGATTTTGGTAAATGACACATCCTCTAAGAAAATAAAGGGTGGGTGGGAGGGGCTAGTACTTGCTAAGATAAGACTGATTTTAGCAAATGACTGAACAATATTAAGAGTATTCACTGGAATGTAGGCGGGGCTATTGCTTGCTTAATAAAGACTCTGTAGGAAAAATTAAACTTAGCAATTCTCTAATTTTTTCCTGCTGAAATAAGAAATAAATCTTATAGCAAATAGTAAACCAAGAAAATTACGATCAGCGTTTTTTTTTTAACAGCCAACGTTCCCATTCGCACTCTACTAAAGAACATTCAATTAACCACGCCCACCCACCCCGCCTCCTCTTCAGTTAATTCAATTCAACAGAGATAAAATTATTAGAACGAGAGCAGCGTGTGTGGACAAGGTCAGTATTTGCTAAGATAAGACTGATTTTGGCATATGACAATCCTCTGAAAAAATATGGGGCGGGTGGGCGGGGCTAGTACTTGCTAAGATAAAACTGATTTTGGCAGATGAGATACTTTCCAAGAAAACAGAGGGCGGGTGGGTGGGGCTAGTATTTGGTAAAATAAGACTGATTTAGGTAAATGATATATCCTCTAAAAAACTAAAGGGTGGGTGGGCGGGGCTAATATTTGATATGATAAGACTGATTTTGGTACTTTTGACATTTTCAACCATTTTTCAATTATTTCCGAAAATTAATTGAAGACATCAAATTTTCTTGTTCGTTATCTAGAAGTCTGATTTTGGTAGATGACGTACTTTCTAAGAAAAGAGAGGGTGGGTGGGCGGGGCTAGTACTTACTAAGATAAGAGTCATTTTGGTAGATGACATACTTTCTAAGAAAAGAGTTTCTTAAAGTACATATATGTCATTTGCCAAAATTAGTCATACCTTTGAATGTACTAGGCTCGCCCACCTGCCCTCTGTTTTCTTAGAGGATATGTCTTTTGCCAAAATTAGTTTTATCTTAGCAAATACTAACTAAAAAAGTGAAAAATTTAAAACTGAAAACTCGTGAAATTCTTTCTTCAGAGCCAATAAGAATGAATGGTCAAAACGGAAGGGGGTAGGTGGGAGGAGCCACTTTTTACTTTCTTTTAAATTTTAGATTCTACCGCTTGTCAAAATAGAATTCAATTCCCTCTGCACAATAAATAAATTAAGTCAGTGAAATAAAGAAAAAAGGTGGGCGGAGCTGAGTTTACCTTTTTTCTCAAGAGTCTTGTAAGCAAGTAGTAACCCCGCCCACTGCCCTCCTCTTCATTCCAGTGACTACTCTTATTATTGTGCAGTCTTACCTTAGCAAATACTAGCCCTGCCCACCCGCCCTCAATTTTCTAAGAGTGTATGTCATTTCCCAAATTCAGTTTTATCTTAGCAAATACTAACAAAAAAAAGAAGAATTGAAAAAATACAGTTTGAAAAATTGAAGACGCCACAATTTGAAAAATCAAAAAATGAATAATAATTAAAAATTGAAAACTCGAGAAATTTATTTTTCAGAGCCAATAAGAATGAATTATCAAAACCGAATAGGGGTGGGTGGGAAGGGCCACTTTTGACTTTGTTTCAAATTTTAGAATCTACCGCTTGTCAATATAGAATTCAATTCCCTCTGTACAGTAAATATGCATAATAAGTCTGTGAAATAGAAAAAAAGTGGGCGGAGCTAAGTTGAGCTTTTTTCTTAAGAGTCTTGTAAGCAAGTAGTAGCCCCGCCCACTGCCCCCCACTTCATTCCAGTGACTACTCTTACAGTCTTACCTTAGTAAATACTAGCCCCGCCCACCCACCCTCTATTTTCTTAGAGTACATATTATTTGCCAAAGTTACTTTTATCTTAGCGTGTACTAGGCCCGCCCACCCGCCCTCACTTTTCTTAGGGGATATTTGATTCGCCAAATTCAGTTTTATCTTAGCAAATGCTAACAAAAAAAAGAAAAATTGAAAAAATGCAGTTTGAAAAATTGAAGACGCCACAAATTGAAAAATCAAAAAGTGAATAATAATTAAAAATTGAAAACTCGAGAAATTTATTTTTCAGATCCAATAAGAATGAGTGATTAAAACGGAATAGCAGTATGTGGGAGGGGCCACTTTTGACTTTGTTTCAAATTTTAGATTCTACCGCTTGTCAATATAGAATTAAATCCCTTCTATACAGTAAATGTAATAGAAATAGAGAAAAAAGTAGGCGGAGCTGAGTTTAGCTTTTTTCTTAAGAGTCTTGTAAGCAAGTAGTAGCCCCGCCCACTGCCCTCCTTTTCATTCCAGTGACTACTCTTATTATTGTTCAGTCTTACTTTGGCAAATACTAGCCCCGCCCACCCACCCTCTGTTTTCTTAGAGTGTATGTGATTTGCCAAAATGGTCTTATCTTGCCATATACTAGGCCCGCCCACCCGCCCTCTTTTTCTTAAAGACCATGTCATTTGCAAACAAACACAAACAAAAAAACATGAAAAATTGGAAAAACGCATTTCGAAAAATTGAAGACGTCAAAAATTGAAAAAGCGGAAAGGGAATTATGAAAAATTGAAAACTCGTGAAATTATTTCTTCTGGGCCAATAAAATGAATGAAAATGATTTTGGCAGATGATTTTACCTTCTAAGAAAATAAAGGGTGGGTGGGTGGGGCAAGTATTTGTAAAGATAAGACTGATTTTGGCAGATGATATACTTTCTAAGAAAATAGAGGGTGGGTGGGCGGGGCTTCAATTTAGTAAGATAAGACTGATTTTGGCAAATGACATACCTTCTAGGAAAATGAAGGGTGGGTGGGTGGGGCTAGTATTTGTAAAGACAAGACTGATTTTGTAGTAACCTCGCGCAGTGCCCCCCTTTTCATTCCAGTGACTACTCTTATTATTGTGCAATCTTACCTTAGTAAATACTAGGCCCACCCACCCGCCCTCTATTTTCTTAGAGTATATATCATTTGCCAAAGTTACTTTTATCTTAGCGTGTACTAGGCCCCCCCACCCACCCTCACTTTTCCTAGAGGATATGTGATTTGCCAAATTCAGTTTTACCTTAGCAAATACTAACAAAAAAAATGAAAAATTGAGAAAACGTAGTTTGAAAAATTGAAGACGCCACAAATTGAAAAATCAAAAAGCGAATAATTGAAACTTGAAAACTTGTGAAATTTATTTTTTAGAGCCAATAAGAATGAATGATCAAAACGGAATACGGGTGGGTGGGAGGGGCCACCTTTGACTTTGTTTCAAATTTTAGATTCTACCGCTTGTCAATTTAGAATTCAATTCCCTCTGAAATAGAAAAAAAAAGGTGGGCGGAGCTGAGTTTAGCTTTTTTCTTAAGAGTCTTGTAAGCACGCAATAATCCCGCCCACTGATTTTTCTTTATTCCAGTGACTACACTTATTAGTCAGTGCAGTCTTACCTTAGCAAATACTAGCCCCGCCCGCCCGCCCGCCCTCTGTTTTCTTAGAGTATATCTCATTTGCCAAAATTAGTCTTCTCTTATTATGTACTAGGCCCGCCCACCCGCCCTCTATCTTCTTAGAAAATATGTCATCTGCCAAAATCAGTCTTATCTTAACGAATATGTACTAGCAAAAAAAAATGAAAAATTGGAAAAATGCAATTCGAAAAATTGAAGACGTCAAAAATTCTAAAATCAAAAAGTGAATAATTAAAAATGTAAAACGGATAGGGGTGGGTGGGAGGGGCCACATTTTACTCTATTTTAAATCTTGGCTTGTCAAAATAGAATTTAGTTCCCATTTTACGATAAATAAAATCACTTTGTCAAATGAGGAAGTAAGTGGGCGGGGCTATATTTAGCTTTTCTATAAACTTATGAGCAAGCACTTAACAAATACAAGCGTAAAATTTTTAAAAAATTTTGAAACAAGCAATAAATTTTTGATCTTGTAAAGCTAAATTTGACTTCTTCTGAAGACTTTTCTCACCGACTTGGCAAAACTATATTTAATTTCAAGGATGAAAAAAGAAAAAATCTGCGTTTGTAAATTTGGGCTAATCAAATTTGGATATTTTTGTCGTAGCTTACAGTTATTAAAAATTCTTGAAAGTCATCTCTGTCAGTTGAGTAAAATGTTAATTTGTAGACCGTCGGTTCCGTGGTGACTTAGTTTTCGTGTATTACTAAGAATTTTAAAAAATAAATTTCATGCCCCACACCATGAAACACTTTGACAATTTTTGAGACACTAAACTTCTAAAAAAAAAACATGATGTGACAGAAAATTACAAAATTTCCAATCTTTCTTAAAAAA